GTCTGCCAAAGAAAAAGGCTGATTTCTGCTCTTTGTTAGAGTACTGTAACCTGGCAGGGCTGACTTGCCTTCTCAGAGTATGTATAGCACAGATTTTCAAAACGTCATGTTCTGGAAGGTTACAGACTAAACAGATTTCAACTAATGGGGTGTCTTCAGTGTTTGAGAAAAGAGAAAGTTTGAAGCTTAGGTGCTTATTACAAAGTCATCCCTGCTCCTTCAATAACTCATTTTGATATTTTTTAATTTGCAAAAATGTGTCTGTGATCCCATAGGCTCTTAACTACTTTGTAATGAGTGTGTATGAACAGATGGAAAATGTTTTCAATTTCTGAGAGAACTGCTAATGGATGTCACCAGCTATTAGAAAAGCTCAGGTGGTTCCATTTTGGGAGAATAGGTATTGTCATAAGCCTCTTCATTTTTAATGAAATGTTTGCTCATTTATATCTTTATGGTAAGTTTAAGACTGCCTGTACTAGCAAAAAAAGATTAGAACTTGAGCTGGAAATTATTCACTGTGTAGTAGTCCAGAACCTTGGTTCCCAACATTTCACCTGAAAACAAAAGTTTGTTGTAGGTCACATTATTATGAGGAAAAGTTAATAACTGGAAAAAAAAAATAATTCCATCAGGGTTAGATTTTTTCCCCCTTTTTTTCTAAGAGATGCAGAAAAAAAAAGTAAAAACAAAAGAAGAAAAATTTCTGGTTTCTTATCTGAAAATCTAGAACTACTTTTAACATCAAAGTGGAAAGGAACTCTTTTCCTATATAAAATTTGATAATTTTGCTCTGCTAATCTGTTTAGATTTTTAGTCACTAGCCCAGATGAGATTTCATACTGCTTTTGAGCTCCCTCTAGCATCAGACATTAGGATCTTCCCATGATAAGGAACTGAGATATGAAATATAAAAGGATAACATAAAACTCAGTAAGCAAGTTTTCCCTTCTATTTCTCTTTGGGGGACAGAATTAATACAGTGAATAGGGCTGAGATGTTTTCCTGGCTGTGAATTGAAGACTGGAGGGAATGTAAGCATGGTCATATTGGGACAGAGTGGTATTACTGGGTTACCCTTCCTTCTCCACTTACTACAAAAGACAGAGTTCAGAAATATAGATTACTCCTCTCTGCTCTGCTGTAGGCTCACGTTGCTAAACTGCATTGAGACACTACTTTGATCAAACAGCTGTGAGCTGCGTGAGACTCAATTAACATATAAAGATACCTCAGCGTACTCTATATAGGTTGATATTTTTGAGATTTAAATGTGTAAAAGGTCCTTCAGAAAATGTCTTGCACTATTTCTCCAGGAACCTGATGCACAAAGAGCAACACCACAATCAGACCTCCTTCAGCACTCATGCCAGACCTAAAGAAGCTTTCATCCACATGTTGCTCCTTCTTTTAGGTCTAAATGTTTCCAATTCAGTCTTCAATTTGCCCAATGAAGTGGGCAAAAGAATAGCAGCTATGACAGGTAGAACACCACCTAGATCAATCTTTTCTCTACCTTCGCAGTGTGAAGGACAACAGTGTTCAGAAGAAGAAATTACTTTTCTCAGCTGTCCCACGAAGGCACTGACTTCCTTTACAGTCTTTCCCTGAGTGACAAGTGAGGTTGCAAGTATTTATTCAGTGACTGGAATAATGAGGAAGATGGATGAAGGAGCTCAAAGGCAAGTGTTAACACCTGCAGAGGGTGGAAGAAAGAACAGAGCAGACTCAGGGTAGAATATCCTCCTTATAAGGTTCTGCACTGCAAACATTTCCTAGGAACACCTTGAACATTTATACATTTATTTTACTCTCACATTCAACAACTCTAGACATAGTGAACAGTCTCTATTATGCAAGATGCTGTACAAATAATATTTATTTGCCTTAGAAAAATTACACTAAGAACCATAAGCCCCAACAGATGGACTAGACACACTCCAATGCGGCTAGCTGATGCATGGACCACAGCTAGCAATTATCTATATCTAATTAAAAAGAAAAAAAAAATCAAATGAAAAATAAATTTCAGTTTTCTGCATTGAAAACTGCAAAGAAAATTGATATTTTAAGTTCAATCTGAGTGAAAAGAACTATATATGTATGCCAATGATGGTACGTTAACTTCCTCTGGTAAAATAGAAATGCTTTAATGACCTCACTTAGTCCAACCCTGCCAACATTTCAGCATCTTCCCAGTTAATTACTTCCAGAGTAAGAAATTATATTGGGAACAATTAAGCATTGCATGTCACTGCAGCTCCTAATTCTGTTGTCTATATTCCTCTGCAGTCAGGCTGAGTTTGTTTTAAGTTTATTTTATTTCAGCTTATCTCACATCAGAAGAAGTGAAAACCTCGTGAACAGCCGGGAAGTGGCAATTCCCATATCCTGACTCATAAAAATCGCAGGTAAGCCAAAGAAAAACTATTCCAAAGGCACAGAATGGCAGTAACTTTGCTTCTCAACAGCTCTGCACTGAAGGTGACAGATGCATTTCTTTGAAACCAGTCTGTTGGAATTTCACAGAGGGGCAGAAAATGCAGAAAAAACCTCAAACACAAAAAGCCCAGCTGTCGTTGGGTTGAAATAGTCTTGAAGTGGAGCTACAATCCAGGGAGATGGAGAAACATGCTGGGAACCAAGAACTGAAAATACTGTTTCAGTATACATTGATAGAAAGGTTTTGCAAAAGTGCTGTTTTCCCAACAACCACCTGTTACAATCTGCTAAAATATTGCAGAAAGAATTTTTTATATTCGAATGTTCCCTTGAGCAAAATTAAAACTCATACAAGTTATCTGTTGAGACCAAAACTGTTTTTATTAATTACTAAGAGATGCAAAGAGAAAGAGGAAAAAAAAAAAGAAAAGGTTAGAAAATGCTAAGATTAATTTTAGAAGCAAAGAAAAAGATTACCACCAAAAAACTACCTATTTGTCCAAGCTGACTTGTGGAGTGGGGGGGGCAGAGGGAGAGAAAGAAACGGTTTTCGCCGTTTTTTTTTCTCTGGCTCCGCCGCTTTTCGGTGATGTTATCTCTTTAGCTGTAGGGGATCTGGAATGCAGCCAGGATGTGGGCTTCTCCGCAGCTCACACCGGCCCTGTTTCAGGCTTGTGCAGAGGCCTCGGTCCTGCTGTACCTCTCAGAAATAGGGTTGGGGTGGAAAAAACTCACGTGGGGTAGCACGGAGGGTCCCGGTCCAATTCCAGGTGGCAGAGGTTCAGTCTCTGGTGACGGGCAGGCAGTTTTACGGCGGCGGAAGAAAAGAAAAGGTGAGGGCGAGGTGGAGACAAGATTTTTTCAGCTGGTATAGCCAAACTCTCTTGCTCACTCCTCTTTCCCTAATCTTCCCAAATTTCTCTTCAGCTTTTATAGTGTTCAAAGGAGGTAGTCTGTGGTGTTTTGGCACTTAGCCCTGTTCAGATGTTCGCAGAGATATGATAAGGATGAACAATACCAGGATCTTTTGGCAGGAAAACTCCAGTGGGAAACTTTGGTGAGAAATTCTCACCAAAGAAAAATTTTGGTAGGAAGTTTCTGACAGGCGGAAACAATGGCGAAACATAATTTTTGGCATTTGTATGTTATCTGTCTGTTACACCACCTGGTCCACTAAGACTGTGGCTTTGTTCATCCACGTTTGATACTGTCTACTGAAAGCAGTGCCTTTTAAAGACAGGTTGATTATCTGCCTAGCACCACAACTCAAGTTACAGCAAGATTTACTGAGCACAAGAACTACTTTCCACCTGGCTGGATTAATCATGATAAATGAGCTTTGTAAAACACTAAATTCTGGCACAAAGGAGAGTTCCTACTTGTGTTTCAGTAAAATGGAGCTAGTAATAAGTATTTATTTCCTATGCAGCTGGAATAAAACAGGGCATAACACAAATGAAATTTTTGGCAAAGGAAAGAGTGTTTAATATACAGCTTCTGCAGAAAAGGTCCTATTTGATAAAGAAGCTCTGCAGCTTAAAAGCTTAAACGTAACAGGTTTTCAGACAAAATGGAAAAATGCTAAAAAAACAATCTCCAAGGCAGAGATGAATACTGTGTGGAGTACAAAGGAATTGCATGAAAAGTGCTGTTGCAAACCTTCTGAGCAAGCAAGGACCAAGCTTGGCTGCTGAAGATGACTCAAGTTGAATTTTCAAAAGTAAGAAACTAAAAAGTTCATTTCTTTGATAGTTGATAGGTTCCTTTTTTTCACTGGTTTTATCCTGGGGATTTGGATTATTTTGAGTACACAAAAGCTCAGCACGCTCAAACAGCAGCAGCAGAAAAATTAGATAATTCTGGCAGCACCACAAAGAAAGAGGTGCATGGTCTTATTGTGTTGGATAAGGAGCACATACAAAAACACAAAGTCCACAACTGTATTGAAATCATGCCCAGCACCTCAGCCTGTGCCTCTTCACAAACAGTTTTCCCTCTGCTGTCCTCAGGGGCTACTTTCGTGGTTTTTTCTGTCTGCTCTTTTAAAAACCCCTCCCTTATCTTCCTTCAGTGATGTTCTTCATGTCCCCTTTCTCAAAATTTCCTTCTTAGATTCAAGCTTTCTTTTCAGAGATTTGTGCCCATATGCCTCTGTCTTTTCATACACTCTCATGTGTATCATCACAACATGCAGTAGCCAGAGGTAGCTTTGAAGGGGACCTGATTGTCAGAAGCTGTTTAGGCCCCAGGAAAGCTGATGGGAGCTCAGATTCTAACCTTAAGCACTCAACCTTGGAATAATTTGTTCTGTGAAATCTGTCAGTCCCAATGTTGTCTGTTATTTAGATATTCCTACAAGTCTTGTTTTGTTTAAAGTGTTATCACAGCCCTTTTATACCACATAATTGTGTGAGTATCTCAACCTTTGTCTTGGAAGAAATATTCCTTTTTTGATTCCTCGTGGTTGCAGAGGAAAATGGGAAAAATGAAGACAGGAGTGTTAATTAAAACAGACAACTTGCGTTACATGGATTTTATTTCACTCTCATAGTCTGGGAATAGAAGCAACAAAGCCAGTATCCCCTCTGCATCCGGAAAACACATATCATATCTCCAAAATGAGGACAAATTAAGGAGGCTTGAAGGTGAATATCTATTCATGCAGGAGTTGACTTATCAATAACACAATCATTTTTCAGATGAATTGCAGATCCAGTTATTGTTTTTTTCCAACCCTGAAAGTCAAAGAAAGCTTCTTAAAATAAAGATAGCTTTCATAAATTTTCTTTTGAAATTTTAAACGTGTTTCGTGTAAGCTTTCAACTTTAGCTGCAGTGTCTCAGTTTGGCTAATAGTATCTGAAAAAAAAATCTGATTGAGAAATATGTATGAGTCAGCAATCATGATGCCCCTAGCAAAGCTGGAATAATGAGTGTGAGCCAGTAAACTATTAACTGCCTTTATTACAGCTGGCTAAGAATCAGTAACAGCTATTAAAAATATATAATTGAGATGGAGTTCAATTTGTTTTTGGCATAGTAGAAAACCTGAAGGAATGATTGGATGTTAAGAGTCCTTTTGGTTCTGTAGGTAGCAATTTATGTTCACATCAAAAAAGTAAAAAAAGTTCATGTTTTTTGAAGCTTTTCATAAGATGTGCTCTCACAGAGTGAAATGTATGTGTACTGTATTTAGATGGGAGGGTTTTGGTAGCGGGGCAGTTAAAGGGGTGGCTTCTGTGAGGGACACCAGAAGCTGCTCCTATGTGCAGCAGAGGCAGTTCCAGCCAGACCCCAGACAAAACTGCCACTGGCTGAAACTGAGTCCATGAGAAATGTTGGTGGAATCTCTGAGATAATGTATTTAAGAAGGGGCACAACAACTGCTGGGAGAGAAAAGTTGGAATGTGCAAGAGAAACAGCTCTGTAGACAGCAAGGTCAGTGAAGGAGAAGGGCTAGGAGGTACTGCAGGTGCCAGAGCTGAGATTCCCCTGCAGTCTGTGATGTGGACCATGGTGATGCAGGTTGTCCCCCTGAAGCTCATGGAGATACAATAAGGAGCAGATATCCATCCTATATCCAGTGTAGGACCCTGTGCCACAGCAAATGGATATACCCTGAAAGAAGATGCAGCCTGTCGAGACCCTACACTTTAGCAGGCTCCTGCCAGGACCTCTGGCCCTGGAGGGTCCATTGCTGGAGATAGTTTTTTGTGTCTATATGGGGAACAGGGATGTAGGAGAAGTCCACTGCTGAAGGATTGCACCTCATGGATAGAATCTATGCTGGAGCAGTTCTTGAAGACCTGCAGTCCATAGAAAGTCTGTCAGGTGCCCACTAAGCAGCTCTGTCACTCCTTAGTAGTATGGGAGAGAAAATGAAAAACCCATGGATTGAGATAAAAGCAGCTTAGTAGAGAAAAGCAAGGTCCACATAGTGAAAAAAAGGAAAACACAGAGGTTTTATTCTCTACTTCCCATTAGCAGGTGATGACCTGCCACTACCTGCGAAGTAGGGGCTTTGGTAGTGGTTGGTCCAGAAGACAAATGCTTGAATTTTAATTCCCTCACCCCTCCTTCCTCCTTCTCTTACTCTTATTGATGAGTCATATTGTTAAATGGTATGGAATATCCCTTTGGTCAGTTTAAGTTAGTTGTCTTGGGTAGGTCCCCTCCCAGCGTCTTACTCACCCTCAGGTTTTGAGGCTTGGGGCCAGGTGGTAGTGGTTTGGAGAAACAGCCATGGTGGTGTGCGAGAAAAGCTCAGCAGTAGCCAAAACACTGGTGTGTTATTCATACTCTTCTAGCTGCAAGTACAAAGAACAGCACTATGAAGGCACTATGAAGAAAGTTAAGTACATCCTGGTCAGACCCAATACATTTAATAATATGCAACATTTAACAATATGTATTTCTTAATACATAAAAATTGAAATGTGACTGTAAATTAATTAGAGAATTTAGAAAAAAAGTAAAAAACATTAACAAAGTATTTTTAAGAGAACCTCACTCTGGGTTCTTTCCTGTTTTTACAAAGTCACAAGCATTCTTAGTTTCAAAAAGATTGTATCTTATAAAGGGGTAGGAAGGGGGAATCAACATTTCTTTCCTTGGACCAACTTCTCTATTTCTGTCGACATAAATTTTACCATTGGAATTTAGTCTGACCTTGTATCTAACTTAAACTCTTATCTTTTGCAGACTATGCAAACTTGTTTTTTCTCTTCTTTCACAAATGCTTCTAAACAAAAAGAAAGGCATTACACAAATGTTAGCTGAATGCCTCGTCCCTGCATTAGCAGAACAAGTTCATGCAGCCCCTTTTCTGATCTGCTTTGTCAATTTTCCCCTGAGAGAATAAAAGTGTCAGACTTCTTAGTATTTATTTGTGTAACAGGGAGGCATCCGATGCATGAGTTTTGCCACTTCCAGACATTACTCAAAGCATATTGTACAGCAAAAGTTTACTAAGGAAGACTACAGGGCTTTACTAATAATCCTCCTCTGATCCGTGCATTGCACTGGTCTGGATGATTTACAGATATCTGGTAGCCCAGATGGATTAGGGGTGGTAGAAGTCTAGGATAAATAGGCATGGAGCATGTGCAGTTTAGCTGCATGGGGTATGCAGTGAAATTCATGTCTTTACACTCCAGATTTCAAGAACAGTGTCTAAGTTGTGTCCAACTTGGCCAGGTCAGATTGATCAGCTTCCAAGACAAAAAACAGGATGACATTCACAAAAAAACCTGCAGGAGGGGGGCACAATTGTGCTTTCTGGGCCTGGGTCTAGAAAGATCTGCTAAATCTATTTGTGGTGCTTGATCAGGGTTTCATCAATGGAAGTCCCAAGCAGGTACTTTTCCTTCAAAATATATTGCCATCCCAAAATGCTTGCCAAATCAGACCTGGATTAAAGCATTAACAACATTTTGGACAGAAAGGGAAAATGCATAATGTAAGAGACAAGAGAACACAGGTGCAAGCCCTCTCCACTATGAGACAGTATCACAACCTACTTGGGCATCCAGCTACAAAACTAAGAAAAGACCTGTGCAGTCCATCAGGTTTCAATTTTAACATAAAAAATGAAAAAGAAAATTATGGAGTTTTTTCCTAATCTCCACCTAATGTTTGCTAGCTGCTGTGAGATACTAGTACTGAAGAAACAGTTTTCCTCATCATGTTTTGGCTGTCCCTTACAACCATACATATATTGTGAGAGATCGGAAAAAAATATATGCAGAAATATTTCAATTGCATTTATTCATAATGCTGAAACACTTTGGATCCCTGGTCATGAATAGGATGTCTAGAGGATGTCAATTGGACAACATATCAGAAAATGTGACCTCCACCCATTGATTAATAGTTTAAGGCAAATACAGTTTGATGTGTGAATACAAGGAAAGAATAGCAGTGTAAGTGGTCAGCTCAAAATACTATCTACTTGACTGTTTCAGATTTTCTTTTGTTCAGGTTGTTTCAGGTGATTTCCAATATTTTTGTGGATGTCACAATAAAGTAAAGCTTTAGGAAGGCAACAAAGATGACATTTTCATAGTGTATACAGCCAATGCCTCTCAAGTATTAAGGAATCACAGTAGAACAAATTACCAAAGGAATTGTTTGAAAATTGTTTGAAAAGCTTTAAAGGGTGGTTGGCATTGCTGTATGCTTTTTTGACTAAAGTAATCTCAGGTATCCTGTATTTTTCAGTTGTATGACATTAACTAGCTTTAGTCCAAGTTACCACATGCCCTTTACCTGAAAAGTATACACCATAAAATGTACATGAAAGCATAATACTTCCTCCTCACAGGTCTGATGTAGAAGAAAAGAGAATATCCACAAATGGTCTGAGATTTTACAAACATCAGGAAACACAAAATAAAATAAGTCACAGCTCATTTCATCCATTTCGACTTCAGCCCTACATAAATGCCATGATTCCTACAGGATGACATTAATTCCTCTTAGATGCAGTGACAGGGACTACAAACCTTTTCCATACTAGCCTACTATCTGCATGTTTTAATTTATTACAATTATGTATATCTCATCACAAACATATTTAGATAAAAAATAGTTCCAGAATTACAGAAAAATTGTCTACAAAGACATATGTAGCCCAGAAAGCCAATCATATCCTGGGCTGCATGGAAAGCAGCGTGGCCAGCATGTCGAGGGTTGTGACTCTGCCCTTCTATTTTGCTCTGGTGAGACCCCACCTGGAGTGCTGCATCCAGCTCTGGGGTCCCCAGCACAGAAAGGACGTGGACCTGCTGGAGCAAGTCCAGAGGAGGGACATGGAGATGATCAGAGGGATGGAAATGAAAGGCTAAAAGAATTGGGATTGTTCAGCCTGTAAAAGAGAAGGCTTCAGGCTGACCTATTTGCAGCCTGCCAGTACCTGAAGGGAGCCTACGAGAAAGATGGAGAGAAACTTTTTGTAAGATCATGTAGAGACAGGACAACGGGGAAGGGCTTCAAACTGAAAGAGAGTAGGTTTAGATTAGATATTAGGATGATATTATTTACTGTGAGAGTGGTGAGGCACTGGAACATGTCGCCCAGAGAAGTTGTGGATGCCCCATTCCTGGAAGTGTTCAAGGCCAGGTTGGATGGGGCTTTGAGCAACCTGGTCTAGTAGAAGGTGTCCCAGCCTATGCAAGGTGGTTGGAACTAGATTATTTTTAGGGTCCCTCTCACCTAAAGCCATTCTATGGTTATATGTTATCATTCTGTGTTTCTATACCATGCACTGCAATGCCTTACAATGAATAACATAACACACACACACGTGCACAAAATATGTAAAGGTGAGTTCAGTATCCCTCTTTTCTGTTTTTAACAGCTTTAACACAGTACACGTTATAAAGGATCTAAATACAGATAATCAATTTAAGAAGGCAAAATATTTTTATTAGTTTTCCAAGGCAGGCTGGAATGAAACACTAAATATTTGATAGAAAATCATAGAAATAGAAATACTCAGCATAACTATTCTTAAAATGATATAACAATGTGAAACATGAAATAGGGAGACTAAGAGTGTACTGTGAACATTTTTCTTAAAAGCTGAAATACTGAAATTAAATAAACAAACTCTGGTAGAAGAAATAGACTCACTGTTTTTGAAGACTGTGAAATGAGACCTAATGGTTGTATAACCTTTTAAAGGTTATGCAACTAAACATTGTTTGCAGGCTTGGTATGCCAGAATTCAATGACAAAATTAGCCAACAGTGTAATTTATGAGGGACTCTCCTGGTTCCCTCCTTACACAAATCAAATTTGGAGGCAGAATAATGTCTTATGATAGCAAGGCAGTACTTGCTGAATGTGTTGTGTGGCAGTTTGCAATATACCTTCATCTGAAATCACATTTATAAAAGGAATGTTCAATTTGAAACCATTTTTACCCCATTTACTGACACCTAATCCATAATTCTTGCTACCCTGTGTATTTCCACAGGTAAGACATTACACCATGCAGACAGTAGTGAAAAATGGGGACAACAGAGAAAGTTCTTGCAGGTGAAAGGAAGAATGTCACTCTGTTCTTCCTGTTTCCCACTGAAAAATAATGACTTCCAAATCTCTGGAAATCAAGGCAGTTGGTGTGAAGGACTCTTCTTTGGATTAACCCTAGGTGTAAAAGGGCCAAGAAAGACTAAGGTGCACTTCCCAGTATGTGCACCCTGCCTGAAGCACCTAGGAGAACAGGACCATGATGGTCAGCCACATCACTGCCTCTCTTCATCACACATTTCTTGAAAAGGCAGAAAAATGAAGGTTGCTGGTGCTGGGTAATTCAGCAGAGGGGCTTTGCTTTCCCATCAGGTCATTGCAGAAGGCACATTAGCTCACAGCTAACGTACCTTTTCCACCAGATCATCTTTATTTTTCAGATTTAATATTTTTCTTATGTCCCTAGTAATTCTACAGTGCAGGGACAGGCCTTTAGATTTAGCTTAAGTGGGTCCATGAAATCTAAGGTCAGTTTAGGATAAAAAAATTTATATGTGAAATTATGTAACACTAGTGACACTGCTCTGACTGGATTGCTCATTTTCATTTTCTTTTATTTCGAAACCTCCCACTTCTGGAGTTATCTGTCGCTGCCATTCAGACTCATCTTCAGACAGAATGAACAGTCCTCTATTCCACCACCATCCCATCTATTACACCTGATGCCATTTGCATGTTTTTTAATGGAGATAATTTTGGTCAGTTGAATCGCAAGATGCAAACACAAGTAGCCAGGGGAATGTAGTTTACTCCGGAGGCGTGGCTGTGAATACTGTGTGGCTCAGTATTCATATTCTCTGAAATATTTTTCTCTCTGGCATGATGGTTGCATCTAAAGGGGAAGATTAATTTTTGTGGGGGCAGTACCTTTGTACTGCAAGATATAGGAATCCTTAAAAGGAGCCGGACAACAGGGAAGATATCCTCCTCTGAACTGCATAATGCCATGTGACATTTTGGCATATCAAATGTCTCAGCTATTCTTTTAGTATGGGTCCCTTAGAGAATCTTTTCTACAGAGTCTGGTAGATGGTTTCAAGCAATGTAAATCACCAGACCTATGTCTAAATAATGCTTTTCATGGTGCCTCAGTCAAACAATGTTTCCTGCTCTTTCTTGCTCTGGGTATAACCTTCACCATGACCTTTCACTGACGCCCTGCTGCATTTCTCACCTAAATCTTATTTTTGAGACCAACCACGCTGGGCCAGGTAGTTAGGTCCTTACTTATCAGATGTCACCATAGAAAGAAAAAAAAAGATGGCACAGATGTTTGATCATGCTTCTGGGTTTTCCTAGGCACTGATGCTTGTTTCTGCCAGGTTCAAACCATAGGGACGTGGAAGCTTCAGGAAACACCTTCTGAAGTCAACAGCTGTTCACTCAGGTGCTATAGGAAGATTAAATAAGTCAGTGAGCTGGGATCAGAGCTCAAGTTGTTTAACCCCTTCAAATGCTCCATTCAGTTGTCTGCAATGCCTTCCCTGGTGAAGTTTTAATATGTGCGAATCTGTAATTTACACACTTAACCCAAAACTTGTAGTTTGCTGAGCTTCTTTCATGTGGTTTAAATTCTACTTTTATGATTAAACTGTTGAAAAATGCCTTGGACAATTTGGAGAGTGGGTGACGCTTCATAGTTAAAATTATTATATTCAGATTCTTTTTTCATTATCCTGAAGTCTGTCAGTGTGGGAATAGCAATGTCAAGTGATGGTTAGTTATTGAGAACAGCATTTGGATTATTACCTTTCCAGAAAAGTACTCCCATTTCTGCTGAGAAACTGTCTTAATTTGCTTTTATTACTAAAACTTAATGAGATAGTCATATAAAACATAATTAATTTTATAATAATTTTTAAATTTATAGGTTAACCAAAGGGGGATTCTGTCTGCAGAGTCCATTTGGATCTTTGATCTGCCTGCTAAAAATGGCAAAAAATATCTGCCAGTTACTGCCAGGGCTAATGATGACCTCTGACCACGAAGGCACAAGTAATCTCTGCCTTGGTTTCTCAGCTATTAAATATGATGGGGAATACAGATCACAGATCACTGTAGGCTGTGAGCCTTTTTCTTGTTTCATCTTTTAAAGCTCCAATTCTGCAGTGCATACAAGCACAACTTTATCATTGTGACAGCACTGCTGTCAGTGGAGCTGCTCCAAGAATAAGGTCAGAGTGTGCATTCCTACAAGGCCATGGATTGAAAAATATTTGGGGTGAGATTTATTCCCCAGTTAAGAACCTAAATGGTACCCAGCACAATAGATTCTTCTACTTGTTTGTGGCTTTCTCAGTAAAAAAGTTTGTTATAATAGTAATAAAGTGAGAAGTTCTAGCTGTTCTTTATTATTTTACAGCACTGTCATATTTCACATCTGGTACTGTGTTTGACTTTTATTCCCAGCCCTGTTAATATGTGATATATCCATAGAACTGCAAAGTCAGAAGATTGATTGGACATTTCTAATAAATATTAATCTCTAGTCTTATATACTTGCCCATCTAGAGAAAGGACAAACATCTGTTTTGCAGAGGTCTGAATTTCTAGCGTGTTGTTGGCCAACTGGAACACACAGGTTGCATTCAAAAGCAAATTTGCTTGAATGGGTTGATGTGCTTCAGACAGGCAAAAATTAAGCATGAAATTCTAAGGACTGTTTCTCTGGTCTTATTTCAGCTTCTTTTCACAAGACTGCACAATACAGTTATCAGGTATCGGGCATTGAACAGCCTTTCATGTATTATTTAGGTAAAAGCTCAGCTGTTTTAGATGGCAAAACAGTGCAATCTAAAGTGAGTGTTATCCATTATTTTCACTTGAGCCAAGATTTATTTTAGCCCAATTTCCTGTCTACAGGGAAATGCAGCTGGTGGGTGAGTTCTGACTCCTATTACTGACTCCTAGAGAGCTTCTTTAAGGAATCCAGTGCCAACTCCCCACTGATTATTGATTCCATCAAGCTCAATGAACTCAAATGAATAAGTAGTTCCTAATTTGTTGTGACATTGCACAGATGTGTTTATTTGTTAAAGAAGGGAGCTGTGACAGTGCACTTCCCATTCAGCACTGGTACAACCTGGTTTGTATTGGCATGGATGGGGAGAGAAGGGTAGGCCATGCCAGGCAGCTTGCATGATGAGATATTTGCAATTACTACTCCTCAACAGAGTCTCTGAGCTTCCTCTCACTCTTCGTGCCTTTGCTTCCCTTTTCTAATATATAGATTGCTGAGTAGTTAAAGGTGGGGGACATAATTTAGATCTATCTCTGCAAAAGAGGGTCCATGCCCAGGTCACAAGTTTGCAGTTACAATCTAGATTACATCAGAGGTGAGACCAAGCTGATCTCACCTGCCACCCAAGGCATTTTTTCATGGACAGTTTTGTCCTTTTCACTGCATTCCTGGATCCTGGCAGTATAACTGCATGTGTGACTCAGTACCTTGGAAAAGTCTTATGCTTCTATGATCATATTGTTCTGTATCCAGAGATAATTTCAGTATGGCTTAAGAGCCCTGAAGTGTTGGAGAAGACTGAGTGATCACTCTTTGGGTTTTAAAATTCACTTCTTTTTATCTCTGGATTACTATGACATTCTGATGGCTAAGGTTTTAAATTAATGTGCAGAAAACCAATGACGAGTGCGATGATTTAACACCAACCGGTAACTAAGCACAACACAGACACCCACTCACTATCCTCCACAGAGGGATGAGGGAGAGAATCGAAAGAATAAAGGCTAGAAAAACTCAGGGGTCAAGATAAAGGCAGTTTAATAGGTAAAGCAAAAGCCACACAAGCAAGCCAAGCAAACAAGGAATTAATTCACCTCTTCCCATCAGCAGGCAGGTGTATAACCATCTCCAGGTAAGCAGAGCTCCATCACACGTAATGGTTACTTGGGAAAACAGATACCATCCCTCCAAACATCCTCTGCTTCCTTCTTCTTCCCCCAGCTCTGTATACTGAGCATGATGTCATAACAGTACGGAATATCCCTTGCATCAGTTGGGGTCAGCTCTCCTGGCTGTGTTCCCTCACAGCTTCTTGGGCAACCCCAGCCTCCTCAATGGTGGGGTCAGCAATAACTAAAGTAACCCTGCATTATCAATGCTGTTTTCAGTACAAATCCCAAACATAACCCCATTCCAAATACTGTGAAGAAAATTAACTCTACCCCAGCAAAAAACAGCACAGACTGTCTGAAATGAGAGGAAGTTCGAGAGGCCAGGTAAGGGAGTAGTTTCCCAAAGCTGTCAGGTTTGGTTTCAGGAAACCTGGATTCAAATTCCAGCTTGATGCATATTACCAGACACAAACTCAATGTTACTGTTAACTGCCCTGTAAAAGGTGACCTTATTAGTTCTTTCCCCCCCCTCTTATCTCTGCCAGTTTTCCAGGGCAGAAAATGTCTCTCACTCTCTGTTTGAGCCAGAGATTTTTAGAATGGTGACACCATCTCTGCTGGGGCCTTAAGGCATGTCCATAATAGAAAAAACAGCAATAAATTTCATTCAGAGAAAAAAAAGTAAGGAATTAGATATGTTTTTTTCTGAAAGCACTATGTGCTGCAAAGACAATTTTTCTTCTGTAATAAAACAAAAAATGATACAGCAGTAAATCTCAATGTGCTCTTCTCTCAGTAACATAATTTTACAGAAATATAGCAAGACAACTTATGTGTCTTTCCTTTCATTTATTTTCTCTAAAAATAGTTACTCAACCTTGTGAGTTGAAACTGGAAATTGATGTTCTGCATCTGTGATTAAGTAGCCCAACTAGCCCCAGAGTTTAATCACTAAATATTCTGGTTTGGAGTACAATTGGAATATACTCTTTGAATTCTATTTACAGGTTTGTGGGCAATGAAAAGAAGTAAGTTGGAGGAGAGTTTCTGCCCTCAATCTGTATCTGCTACCACTCCTTTTTTCTTTTTTTTTTTTAAAGGTTTAGGCCCTTTATTCCCAGAAGTTTCTCTGGTTCCTTATACTTACCTCAGTAAGAGGGATGTTGTGCCGGAAACGGAAGTACGAAATAGAGGACATCAGAGCATAGAGTACTTCTCCATTCATCAGGAATTCTTCACTGAGTATCTACCAGAACTCTATGGTTCACTGGCTGGATATGTGGATAAACAACTAAAGACTCAGCTCCAGGAAGAAAGATGTTTTGCTTCTTCAAGGCTACCAAGAGTAAAGATCCTTATCAAACCCTCTGCCTTCAGATATGGGAATAAACTACTCCCAGCTTTCTGGTTTGGAAAATCTTGTCAGCAGGAGTTTGTTAGTGAGATTTCTGATACATATCTGCAACAGTCTCTGATACAGTTCCATAATTCTGTATTTAAGAGAACGCAAAGCCTGTCATGCAAACAAGACAGCACTCAGATATACCGAGAATTTGACACACTTAGATTCCTTGCCCATTTCCAATCTATGCCTTTGTCAGATTTTTTGAGTCAGGAAGAACAAGCCCTTTCTTCTTCTTACCTATCTCAGTCTCTGGGATTTAAGAGAGGAAAGAAGGAGAGCAGCCCAACTACACAGTGATGTTTTACACAAAACCCAGGGCCAGTCTGAGGACACAGGTTGCTGCTCTGAGGCCTTCCCATCCGTGTAACCTCCACGTTGAGACCTGTCACCCACACATACTGAAATATTACTGCAGTGCACAGAGATAAATGAATGAATGCTTGTGGACTCCTCTGCTGCGGACTGACCTAGGCAACTACTTAAACAGCAACGAGAGGATACTTGCACTTGAGAAAGACAATTCAGTGAAAGCAAAATCAGTGGCAGTTTAAAACTGTTCCTTGATATAAATGTGTAGGGTTTAAAATAGAAATATCCAGTGCATTAAAATGATAGAAAGCAAAGTAACATAGAAATTAATTAACAACATTGAGACTCTCACAGTAATGCCTGCCAACCCAGGTACTAAATTAAAATTTGAATTTAATAAAATCACTCATTTGCTAAAGGTCACAATGCTTCAGGAAAGCTACTAGTTTTTTTCTCAGTCAGCTGTGTTTATAATTACCAACCACTGTATTTTCTCTTTCTTACATTTCTTTGGAGGCTCTCCTGCTTTGTTCTTATTCTCCAATGGCTACATGAGGCTGGAAAAAGGAATTACCACTGAAGATACTGAAATTTCAAAATTCTACATTCTCTTAAATTGGGATGAAAATCTTAGAATATTTTGCAAACGAAATATGCAGAAATATTTT